CAGCGAAAGGGAGGAGGGGGGGTTGGACCTGTCAGGTTACTGTAGGTACACTGTTCTACTGTAGGCAGCAGCTCCGCGGACGGACTGTCAGCTTTGCTCGGTCATGTCGTGCGCCTTTACGGACACATGAACTCGCTGCACTCTGCGGGCTTAAAGGTGTAGACTGCTGCACGGGGGAGTTTGAACAATCCCGCAGCGGCAGCGAAGCCTCTGTGTCTCGCTGTGGTGTTTTACAGAAACATCTTGATATTGGTGCGCATTCGGAGCTGTTAAGTAGGACAGAGGCGCAGCGCTGCGACTCCAAATAACATTTACATGTGTGGTTACCTCACGTGTCCTTCTGTGATGACAGCCCAGGCTACATGATGCGCATGTGTGCTGCTCTGCTCAATTATAAGCGCCAACTGCTGGCGGTGTGACCTCAAGTCAACTTTTCTTTACTGCAGGCATGTCAGGCTATGCATACCAGCAGCCCATTATCTGTCCATCTAGACCTCAGTTGTCCTTTTTTAGACTTTGCCTTTTCTTTGGAATTGTATTTTACTATGTTACACTGGATTAAATTATAATCAGCCATATTTTATCTTATATAAGGTAGGGTAGTCTGTCAGCTATATTGGCATGCATATATATACACACACATAGAGGTGGTAAATGTGATCAAATCCATCAAGATTTGCACGTAAAGTTTCTAGAAATGTCGCCAAATTTTGATGCATGTCAGGCCAAGCATACCAGCAGCCTATTATCTGTCCATCTAGACCTCAGTTGTCCTTTTTTAGACTTTGCCTTTTCTTTGGAATTGTATTTTACCACGTTACACTGAATTAAATTATGATCAGCCATATTTTATCTTATATAAGGTAGGGCAGTCTGTCACCTATATTGGCATGTATATATACACACACACACACAGAGGTGGTAAATGTGTTTGAATAAATAAAGATTTGCACGTAAAGTTTCTAGAAATGTCGCCAAACTTTGATGCATGTCAGGTCAAGCATACCAGCAGCCCATTATCTGTCGATCTCGACCTCAGTTGTCCTTTTAGACTTTATCTTTTTCTCTAGAATTTTATTTGACCAGGTTACACTGAATACAATGATAAACAGCCATATAATATCTTACATAAGGCAGGGAGGGTCACCTATCACCTACA